GGTGAAACATAATTGGTCTTTTATTGTCGTCTAATCGTTGCATGGAGGATTATGGTTGTTGGACGGTTGTTGGACGGCTCCAACAGCAAAAGAAGCAAGCAGAGGAGGTCCTACAGACTCAACGTTGGCGGTCGATAAAATCCAAAGGCTTAAAATCATTGAACAACAGAAGATGAAAGACTCATCCTCGGTCAACAATAATTGTGAGACCGACATCGAAGGATGAAGTGGAAGTCAAACTCTTCAATCCCTTCGGTCCCATGCACGGCGGCTTTGCCTGAAGGTTGTAGTTGACGTAAACTACGCAATTGAGAGATCGATTCGAGCAGTAACGCATACAATACGAACTCGAGCCTCGAACGATTCAAACGACACCAAACCAAGGAGCAGATATTACAAGCCATACCTAGGGCTCTTATACCCTAAAAAAAAACGTGTGAAGGAATACTCACTTAATTTTCATTACCAATCTTCAACCCTAAGGCTATATATATAGGGAAACTAGCCTCTCCTAATTTGCAATCTTACCGAATATATCTAGTCTAAATATGAAAAGAAAATAATTCTGAAATAAACATAAATAGGAAGAGAATGACAACTAATCAAGGAATTCCACAAATAATTTCTAATTAATTCATGCATCACTCCTTTGATGGTCGATCAAAGCCCACCATGTAAAAGAGACCAATCCTCCTAGATTTCCACGTGTTTCATCATAAAATATGTCAATGATGATAACCCTACAGTGAGGGGAATGTATTCTCTAATATTTTAATAATCTCTTTAAATTTAGTTACTTGATGCCAAACACTTTGATTGAACAATTGAGTTTCATGTTTCAATAGCTTCCAATTTGTTGTTTGAAAAGTTAAGTATGTCTTCATTTTCTTTGCTTGGAATCTCTGCTAAATTTTTTTATGTGTATTTTAGTACTCTTTGCGTGGCTCCATCAGCTGCCCTTGTGAAAAGTAGACCACTCATGATTTGAATTCTCGAAATTATATCGCCTACATGTGGTATTTCTATATGAGGCATTGTAAGTGTTAGTCGGTTGAATGCTTAGAGCTACGCTTACATAAATTCTATGGCTAAACTAAATTGTAGCCATATGTGATATTTCCTCTTACATCTACTCAAACTGGCATATGTGACTTATCGAAATTCATTGGAACAAGAATTTTGGAAGTTGAGTGGCTAAAATTGTTGGAATTCTAATTTGTTTAATTAAACTAAAACTTTTTGCTATATCTAAATTGTTCTGAAAAGCTTCTTATTTTGGGTCATATTTATACTATAAACAAAACCCTTAAACATGTAAAAATCATAGAACATTAAGGATTGAAATAGCAATTCCAATTTTCTTCAACTCCTATGACTCTGTTAGTTGGATCTGTATTCAAGAACTTCACAGATAATAAACAGGGAATTTTATGATACTGCAACGAGGTTTGGTTTTTCTAAAAGGACATTTCTTCCATTGTTCTTGGCTAAGTTTGTTCAATCGTTGGTTTATATGCATGATTGAAATTTTGTCAAGTGCAATACAAACCTTTTTTTTTTCATAAAATAAAATTGATTGCTGCTGAAATATGTTCTGTTCATTGTTTTTCTAATGAAATTTCAGATTTTGCAACCATTGAATAATTATTTGAAAAGAAGCCTATTTTTTATTTTTTATATTAATAGTAATTTATTTTATCTACATTTAAGAATTTGTAGCCAAAAGGTTGAGGATTTGTAGCCAACAGATTGCCAATTTTGTGTTTTTTTAAGATTATGCACCTTGGCCTTAGTTGCATTAATGACCATAAACCTTCAAACTTCTTATATTAAACTGGTGAACCTATTGTTGCATCATGTTAAGTACAGGTATGACATAATATTCAAGTCAAATAAAAAATAAATAAAACATGTAGCTTAGCGAAAATTGAGTAAAGCAAGATTCTAAATAAAAAGAAATATAACTATCATGAGGATCCAAATTGTACTCCGACATTTGATAAGTATTATAATCTTAGGAAATTTAGAAGCCACATTCAACAAAAAAAATTTGAAGATTGAAAAGTATTTGACTCCGACTAAGGAAGTTTAGGAGTGTGAAGCCAATTTTTGAGCAAAATTTTTTTGTAAAATATGATTGAAAATTGCAAAACTTTGACAGCTTCGGTTTTAGGGTTGCTATGGAAATATTTTGAAGGTATTGTATTAATGCAAAGATCTTGAAGAAGAAATCATAAATTGGCTTTAAGCGATTTTGTAAGCTTTTTTATTTATTGTTAAAGATCTCATATCTAGTGGACTATCTAAAAATTCATTCCTAGTTACCACTATAAAAAGAGTGTCGGAAGAGGCTTGGCATCCTACAATCATAAAAAAATAGATAGAAAAAGGAAAAGATAAAAGGATAAGGATTGTCAACCAAAGAATAAAATCGGGAGCCTTTTAGATTTGATAAAGGGAAATTTTTTATTCCTTCAGGAAGGTATTATTTGTTTTGATTCAATCAATGGAAAAAAGTTTCTATTTTAGCATGTGAAACTCTCATTTCGACTTTATGCCCAAAATACAAAAAAAATTAGTAAGAGGAGCAACAACAAAGCTTCTTCTTCATGTCCAGCTCTCATCCTCATTGCCCTCATCCTTATTGTAGGTGGTTATATTATCCATATCTCCAAATCTATATATTGAAATGTAACCTTCCCGTATCTCTCTTAGTAAATAAATCAACTTTTGTCACTATAGGCGTAGGTGTATACAACCAAAGCAAACAAATTTTCAGTGCATGGGTTTGTATAGTTAATGTATTTCATATCTTGTCTTGGTGCAACTAGTAACCAAACATTAATACATGTTCGAGCATCTCATTGTTCAATTATAGTTCAAACTAGATTAGGTATTGATGTTTTAATGTTAAATACACTTAATAAACATACAACTAAAATAACTCCAATCAATGAATTCTCTTTGTTTAAACAATGAGTAATATTGTTTTCCCCTAGTTAAAATTGTATTTTAGAATTGTGCATTTTAAACCCATTGAATATATATCCTTTTGACCTCCATTAAAATGGATCCTTTGAACTTGGCTTGCCCCAATTTGTCTATGTTTATGCGCTTTGTGCATTTTTGTGCTTTCTTATCTACAACTTCTCTAGCAAATATATTTAATATGTGTATTAATACTAAATATGATTGATGGCCACCTTTTATCAAATATTGGCAAGGTGATGTCTTTTGCTTATTTATATCATTTTCTTGAGTGTTGGTCAAGCATGGAAATATTATTAGCCTGTATTCTTTCTTTGGATTTATTTCATGCCCCGTTATATGGTAGTCCTGCAATCTATCTTGAATTATATTAGAAGTTTGAGAAGGGAAACAAATGTTTCTTCCTACTTTCACCCGTAAATCTTCTTTATAGTATGCACTTTTGCTTATTTTTGTTTAAATAGAATTATGAATTGGTCATCATCCAGATAAACAAACAAAAACTATGTTATACAATTATCATTTCCTTTTTATGCTTCCTTTGTTAAGGTATTTGAGTCTATCATTATAATTTCTATGCAATCTCTATGTATAAATTCATTTTTTATTGTGAATAATGTTGTATGTAGCTTATTTGAATTCAAATATTGCATTGCGCAATAACTTTAATCACTAAAAACATGGGTAACTTTGTAGCAATTTAAATTGTTACAATTTCTCTTTAACAACAATCAAAACTGCTCCTAAAATTAACTATTATTAATTTCAGCACTTAAAATCACTATGGACTATACCAAATTGTAGCTATAAGGCTGTAAACTTGGGTATGCAATTTTTTGCAAAAGTTAAAAATACTGAAAACAAAAAATGAAAAGTTTCTCTAACAAGCTAATTGTTGTTTTAGTATTTGCAATTATTTGTTGATATGCAACAATTAACCACAGCTAGATTTCCTTGCAAAGAATTCATGTAGCCGACCACACTTAATGGGAAAAAGGCTTTGTTGTTGTTGTTGTAGCTAGCTAAATTTCCTTGCAAAAAGAAATATTTATGCAAAATAATCATTTTCCTGTGGCCTTGACTGCCTAAAAAATGTATGCCACACACATGTACACAATCCATGAAACAATACTTAAGCAAGCAAAAGAAGTTCCATCTTTTGATGATAGGAACTGAAATAACCAAAGAAGCACTCTCACCAAGGCATAGTCAGTACCTGTAACAATAAAATAATGCTGGGGTGCCATTTTAAGCCATTCTAAGCTACTAGTAGGCAAGCCAAGATGATCCAATAGATATGAATTATGCAAACGCTGCAAACATTTGTACATAATAATTGGAAAAAAAAAAGGAAGAATTACATCCATACCCAAGGAACAAATAGCTCAAAACGACAAACTCAGGACCATAATCATATGCTAAACACCCGATATACCACTAAGGATAAGATACTTATTCTGTCAGCCCAGCAATTGTCAATCTATGTAATCCTGTGAGCTACTAGGAATTGGAATGAATGCCATGAACAGGGCAAAAAACAAAAAAATTTAAAACTTCAGAAATAAAGTGTCACTTAAAAGTACTGATGTGATCAAATTCCCTATCTCGTCTAACACTGAACGATTGGGTCGTCTTCAAATAAGAAAAGAAAATCAACGTACAATTAAAATTTAAAACTTTGACAAAAGATTGGATTTCATAGAATTATCAAACTGACGAATGCAAACAATAATTTTCCCCTGAGCAAAAATTAACAGCAAGTTTTCTAGAGATGTGTTCCTCAATGACTAGAGTAATAAAAACAAAGCACCGAGTAAAACGAAAAAAGAAAGAAAAAATATGGTGACTTGGTACAGACTTGAAAGCTTCCCTGCCCACAACACACACGATAGCGCTGGATATATTTCAACACCAAAAAACAAAAAGAAAGAAAAACAAATACATTACGAAATTGTAGTAGCTTGGCAAGAGAATCGAATTCAATTCTATTTTTCCAGTGAAATGAGACTCACTTGCGGTGACAGAGTAATCTGAAAGCACCGGCTCGTGGTGCTTACTCCGCTCTCGCTGGGGTCGATTTCTGAGAGAAAAAAAGTCACCCATCCATAAGCCGGAAGATGATAGCAATCAGCCGTAACTAGAAGTCGAGATCCAAAAACAAACCTTTAAAGTCATCCATAAGAATGGCTTCCAACGCCTCGATTTCCATCTCCTGCTCCTGCACGTGGTCTGCGCCGGAAGAAGTTCGCGGAAGACATGGTGAAGAGAAAAATTAGAGGAGAATTTGTCTGTCCTTACAAAGTTTGTGGAATTACCGGTCATGGTTGCTTGAGAAGATGTTCGCGGCCGGAAAATTAGGGTTTAGGTTATTATAATTCCCTCTTTAAGGAAGTAAGAGACGGGGCACCGGCGCCGCAGCAGCGGGTGCTGCTGATGGAGGTGCAGCAAGTGTAAGCATGAACAAAAATGGTGACTCGAGCCGAAGGGCGGAACGCAGTTCAATCGACATACGTACTTTACAATCCGTATGCATTTCTATATAAAACGCATAAAAATTTTGTAAGTAGCACTCAAATTTTAATATCATGTCAATGTATCATTAATTGTAAATATAAATATAAATATAT